ACATAGTAGCTAGTGCCTTGCAGTGTTAACCACTTTTGGAAGTAGCTAATAGAAAGGATGTGAAAAAAACAGTGAACTAGGCATTAAAATGTACACCGAGTACACAGCGTGCTTGTCACAGCTTAAAGGAGGGGGAGTCTTCCTTGTGTTAGGGTGTGTGGGAAGACACTGGAAGACGTCTTTTGAGCCATTCCCCAGTTTCAGAAAGTTTAAGTGGAGTGAGCAACTTGGGGACTCTAGGCAGAGGGCTTGGTGTGACCAGGGGGTGGGGCAGGAAGTGTGCACTAGCTTGTGTTAAAGGGGTCTGGTGTGACCAGCGAGGCTGGCCATCCGCAAGCCCCTGGACCATGGGAGCAGCCAGAAGTGTTGTCCAGCCTGGTGGGTTTCATTTTAAAACCTTGTAAGTTTTGCCTTTATTGGCAGTTGCTGCCACTCTGTGTGCTTAGACCCATTCATTTTTGTTTGCTAGATGCCTAGACTCTGAAGGCATTTATGTTTACAAACCTCCCTTACACTGTCAACTGGGCTGGGTGTGAAAATAGCACGAGAAAAGTATGGGACACTTGTGTGGAGGTTCTTGAATGCCATGCGAAGGAGTTAAATGCCAGGGAGCCATGAAGGGTTGTGAGCAGGGTGTTGAAGTACCAGGGTTTTTCTGCTCAGATGGCCTGGAGATCCGTGAGGAGGCTTTGACAGTGGCCCAGTGAAGAGGAACCAAAGATTGGGGCCCGGGCTCAGAAAGAGGGAGGGTGTGTGACAGCTGCTCTGGAGGCTGACTTAAAGGCAGTAGGTAACGGATGCGACCCTGGGGTGTTGGCTGAGAATGATGGTTCCAGTAACCAAAGAGGGAGGAGGTGGGAATTCGTGTGGGCATGGGAGACATTAAGTGGTGATGTTCTCTCCGTTTGAGGTGGGAGGCTGACTTTCTGCCCAGGCTGCTCGGTGCAGCTGTTGTGAAAAGTTGGTTTTTGAGAGACTCGGTGTTCTGGGTCTCTTTGAACTCTTCTTCAAAGCTCATGTTAATAACATGACAGTTGTTGACAGACCAATGACTTCATGTAGCTATTGTCTTACGGTGGCCTTTACGTAGTCCAAAGCAGATGGATGTGGGGGCTGTCGTTAGTACACAAGAGAGAAATAGTGCTGACAAGTGGAAACAGAGGCAGGGGCATCTTGAGTGTATTTTCAAGTTGCATTGAGGGAGCTGGGTCCTGAGGGTGCTGGCCGGAAGGCTCGCCTCACGTGCCCTGGGCCAGACTAACAAGCTCAGACTTGGAAACACACGTTTCAGCCCAGTCCACATGCATGTTCACTGATGTCTCGCAGGTGAGCGATGTTCAGTGCCTCTACCTGCTAGGAGGATTTTGCCCAGAATCCATGCAGTGAAGAGTCCTGACTCTCCTATCAGAGGGCTGGATCACAGAGGTCACCAGAAAGCCTTGGCAAATGATAATGTCAATAGCTATTGAAAACTGAATGGATGCTTACTGTTAGCCTGTTTTAGATCAAATTAACCCGACGTGTATTTTTTTAATGGGCTGGAAGTTTGCTTTGGGACGCCACACATGGAATCGGATACAATAAGAAAATGCTCAGGTTTCAGTAGTACTTGGAATTTTACAGATTTAGCGTTACTGCGTCGCCTATGGCTTTTTCAGTTAATGTTAATAGATTTTTCACGCTGATTCCTGAGGAACAAATCTTTCTTTATATAATCCTAATTCCAGTGAAAATGTACTGCACCGCAGTGGATCATCTGTTATGTAATATAATTTCAGTTCCATGGGACTGCCTTTTTTGTTAATGTTAACAATATATTGCACACAGAAGACTATTCCATAATGTTTGAGATTTGCTTTATAAAAAGTGCATTTATAGAACATTCTGATTTTGAGGGTGGGGGGAGAGACAAACTTAATATACTTAAGCAAGCATTTTGCTTTAGGTACATTTAAGGCAAACACATGAGCTGTATTTTAAACACATTAATAGAATTTGCTTGACTATGTACTTCTTAGTTTGAATTCTTTTTGTTCTAGTTTGGGATGTTTTGACCTTCTTGTAAGATTTAAAATTGCTCATAAAAGCATTAGGACTTTGATTAGAAATTGAAAATCATGCCTTGAGTTTTATGCCCATACTGAAGATGCTACTCTGAGATGAAACAGGAGTTTATTTCTGATTGTTGGTCTTGGGCCATCCTCAACCAGGCTTCCTTTTGAAAGGGCAGGGCTGGGCATAACACTTTCAGGGTTTTTGTTTGTAGTGTCCTGAGTTACAGCTTTAAAATAGGTGAATTCAGGGTATTGGTTTAAGCCCTATGGGGCCAAATGGTTTGAATTTGCATGCTATCTATTTAAAACACAGATAATTTCTGAATCTTTCTCATGCAAACTGTAATGAGGCCAACTCTATGGTTATTAGTTTTCTCAAGATTCCTTCCCCCTTCTTGTTCCTTGTATCTCTCATTGCTTGGTTTTTGTTTGTTTTTTTTTTTTGGTGGGGGGGAGGGGGAGGAAATGGGGGTTGTTTCTTTATTTTTCTGTTTCTCTTTTTATTGTTAGATTCTTTGTTTCAAGGGAGAAGCATATTTTCTGTTCCCAGCCTTCCGTTCAGAAACTTTATGCCCTGCTTTTGCATTGCATGTCACCTGAGAGACTGGCAGAACACGCAGGCAGCAAAGCTGTTCGTTTCATCTGTCTTTTGGGGAAGATGAAAACTGAGTTTTTGGCAAACAGATCTCGGGGTGGCTCGATCTTTTCCAAATGAGTTAATATAACCCAGGGACCTAACTTGAGTTCTGGTAACAACAGCTATACTGTCCAGTTTTCCTTGGGGGATAGCTTTTGAGAGGGAAAAACCTCTTAAAATGGAGAGCTTTTACAGATTTATTAATCAGATATTGGTAGAATTACACCATCTGTCTCAATATGAATATTTTCCAGGAAGCCAAGGAGAGCCCTCTGTTTTTTAAGATTAATATTGTTGGGGAAGAGATTTTCCAACTTTAGATTGCATCCTTTATTATGTTAATTTCCCTCTCTTTCCCATAAAAATAGCAGCCATTGAAAACATTGGAGGAAAAACACAGCTTTAACAAAAAAGCTCTAGCAAACGATTTAAAGGTTGTAAAGTGCATTTTTCTAAAACCAGTAGATATCCTTTAAGCTTAGTGTTGCTAAGCTATTTTAAGCTAAAAATAATATCTCAACTATAGCATATATCCACCGATAGATGTACCCATTTTGCTGTTTTTTGTGTGTGTTTTTTTTCTTCTCATAAGTCATATTTTTTCCCATTTGGACCTTTTGTGTCTGAAATGCCAGGAACCCTTCTTGTTCTGTCCATTCTCAGTTCTTTTAATTACTGCTTGATCTTGCAGAACCTGAGTTGTAAAGAGCTAGCTAAAAATAGACTTGTCACTGTAAGCACCTCCTCACATCTGCTTTTTTTTGGGTCCCTGCAAGGTTGACCAGCTTTTTCTTTTCTATTTTTTTTTTTTTTTTTTTTTTTTAGCTGCATATCAAAAACAGTTGGAGGAAAAACAGCATCTATTTAATCAACATTTGCTGCGTTAGAAGTTGTTGGATTTTAACACCCCCCCCCCCCCCCCCCCGCTCCCCCCACCCCTTTTTTTTAAACCAAATCTGTGCATTCAGGCAGTGGAAATTGCCAGGTCAGGTAGCCATTTAGAGGCTAATGAGGTCCTGATGAGCCTCTAAATGGCTGTTGGCTGTCACACCCTCTGCAGGGTTCCCAAAGAGACCGGGCACCCCCTGGGCGAGCCTGTGGGGCATCATTTTCTGTGATTACACCACGGGTGCACTAGGGATGAGTGGGTGGCGGAGCCTAGAGTCGCCTGTCTTAGGTTTGCTCAGGATCCAGTGTGAGCACACACGTTTGGTGTTCAGAGTGGGGTTTCGGGTCCAGGTTCTGCTGCTTTCTAGCAGAATTGCCTTGGTCCAGGAGCCTTTTTGTGACATAAAAAGTGGGGTGATCATGCCTGCCTAACGCTTGTGAAGGCCTGGGATACAGCGTCTGTGCAAAGAAATGCACTTGAAGGGAAAACGAGGGAGCAGTGTCATCTTAAACCAAATAAAATGGGATGTGTTTTGATAGCTTTTACTTAATCTCTCCTGGGTTCTGAAAGCAGCGGGCCCTTACCCATTGTTTCTTCCAATCCCTGCCATGGATCAGCAACCCCCTTTCCCCCCACCACTTGAGAATGTCCAAAGAGCGCATGGTTACTGTTGAAAACTCCACTTGTCTTGTGTCCACTGGGTTTCTGTTATTTCTTTTTGAAGGTTGGAGTAAATTATATTTTTTTGTATTTTCTCTTCCAACGTATTTAATTGCATAAATAAGAGGCTTTCCCACTCTTGGTTTTTAAGGAAGATGGTAGGAGGTATGATGTATGATCTCATTGTAGAAAGATAATGAATTATTTTTGCCAAAGCCTGTTCCCCAGTCCATTGGGGAATAGCATTCAGAATAATCCAGTCAGCGTGTGTTGTGACTGTAACATTTATTTCCTCTCTACACACATTATATAACCCTGAGTAAGCTGTGTAATTCATTTACTGTCAGTACAAAATTTCTTTTTTTAATTTTTATGCCTATGGTTATAGGTTAAAAAATAAGTTTCCTTCCTTATCTCATTTCCTAGTCTCCCAGTTTCTCTCTGCAGAAGCAACCACCTGCATTTTTTTTAAAATTGAAATCCATGTATTCCATGTAATACATTTAATTCTCATAATGTTTTTGTCCTTTCCTCTCTCGGCCTTTGGTTAAGATCGAGTGCCTGTGTGTGTGTGTGTGTGTGTGTGTGTGTGTGTGCGGTGTAACTGCTGGTTCTGAGTTAGGGGAGCAGTGAGGAGCAGTTAGGAAGCACACGTCGGCATGTGTGAGCAGAGGTGAGCAGGCTCTTTCGGGGATGTCTCTCAATGTAACCTCCTCTGGAGCCCGGTTTCCACAGCATCTGTGTGCTTTTCACTTCCCAGTTGCAGCATGAGAAAGCCGAACTAGAGCAGCACCTTGAGCAGGAGCAGGAATTCCAGGTCAACAAGCTGATGAAGAAAATTAAGAAGCTGGAGAATGATACCATTTCAAAGCAGCTGACCTTGGAGCAGGTAAGCATGGAAAGCTCTCGCGGCACATCCCCCCCCATCACCCACTGTTCTTTCAAGCCTTGGGGTGCCCTGAGGACTATCAGGGAAGAACATGTCTCAGCTCCTCCTTCCCATGGGGGAGACTTCCTTTCTGAAGGTCTGCACAGCACCTGCTCACGCTCACGCACACTTTCTCTTTCTCTAACCCCAGTGAAGGAAGCCCAGGAGGAGAAGTGTTGTGTTGTTCTGATTGATGGGCAGGAAATGTTAGGTTCCTATTTGCAAAGGGGGAAGATGGTGTTTTTAACCGCAGGATAGTTTCTGTGAAAGTTCCCAAGACAAGTGTTGCTTCTATTTCAAGGGTTTTTCAGAACAAACGTTAGCCTTTTTTTTTTTTCTTTTTTTTTTTTACATTACTAGCAACCTTATATGAGCTCTGTCTTCTCCCGCCTAGATTTGTGGATTCAGATATGGAATCAGAGACTCGGTTGCCCACCTGACGCAGCCACTAACTAGTTGTATGACCCTGAATTAACTTCATTTCTCTGGGCCCACGTTTGCCATTTGTAAACAGAGAAGGACAGACTAAATTCAAGCATACTAAGCTTAGAAAGGTGCACAAGGAAGACAGGAACAGCGCCTAATCCCTTTGTCCATCGCCCTTGGCAGACGTTGGTATTTGGTTGGGCCCTTGCCAGAGGAGTCCAGACTGGCTCTTTGACTCCAGCACGTAGAACTGTAGGCAGCGGTGACTGGTCCACACAGGCTGGCGTGTCAAGCAAAGTTACCTGTCAGTCCCTGGCCTACTTCCTCCTTCATGCTTTCCCCCACTGTAGTGTCCTGAAATTTTATTTCCCCTGAGACAAATAAGAGGCTGAGCACAGTGTTATCTGATTTCCATATAAAACTCAGTACATTGATTAACACCTTCTATCTCTTTGTAATTTGGATCTCGATTGCCAGTGTGATGACTCGTCTAACCCTTTCATGCAAAGTTATCCCATCTCTAGGCTCTCGGAGTATCCATGCTGACTGGTTCTTCAGTCACCCTCAGTGCCACACTAGTTTCTTCATTACGCCTTCGAATGAATGATGATGGGAATGCGAGGTTTGAGAAGAACTCAGGGTTTGTTTGAAACTTCCCTAGCTGACTTTGCGTGTTATTCTTGACCCTACTTCTATGTGAAAGGGAAGAATGTGTCTGGGTTTTCCATGGCTATGAATAATGGCCCTAAAAATACTTCCTCTATCCCTTTCAGATAAAAGGAGAAAAATTCCATTCCCGAGGTTTTGCTATTGTATACATATTCAGAGTAATCTATTTTTAACCACATATCTTCAGAATTCAGGTGCAATATCTAAATTTAGAAGGCTCCTCCTCCCCCCACAGTTTAAAGACATTTTGTTCTAAAGTTCACCTGTTTAATTCTCAGGGTAAGCAATAGCCAGTTAGTTCTATTCAAATTAAAGCATTGAAGATTCTCGTTCAGTCCCTGATACACCAAGTACCTGTTAGTGGTACTCGAATAAAGAATTAACCGGTTGACATTCTCACAGTAGTTGGTATTGTGAGAACCACGTGGCCATGGCTTTCACAGTGAAGGTGGTCCATAATGGAAACAGCTTTGCTCTTGTCTTCACAGGCTCCTAAGGGAATCTTGGGGTGAGGGGTGTAACCCCCATGGTGGCCACAAGGGGGAGGTAGTAGCCTAGTGTCAGAGAGAGAGGGGCCGTCTCATCCCAGAGTCCCTGAGAGAGGCACCCCCTTAAGCCTCTTCAGTGATTTCACTAACCCCTTTAAAATGAGGTCCAAAGCACACATTCTCTCTGACTTAATGACTTAGTGCCTTTTCAGGTTATTTCAGACCTCACCAGTGAAGGGGTGGATTTCCACAACAGTGTACATGCTTTGCTAAGACCTGTACCAGAAATAGACCTCAGATCCCGGATATCAAGTTCCTGTTTTAATTAACATGGAGAAATTGGACATAATCATAAAACGTCCCCTTCTTTGTTTTGGATACGTTCAGGATGAGTCAATGCTGGAGATTTTACTCTGTATTTTGTTTCGCTCTAAATAATCGCAGTCCGTGTTTAGGGGAAATGTTTGCTTATTTTTCCCTCCGGTGGGAATAAATCTGTTTTATGTTTCCTTGGATGTGATCTGACCCTCTCTGTGGTCATCTCTTGGGATTACCAACTGTATTATATTGTACACAGTATGTCGTAGTCTATGTTATATAATGTGTCCTGTACTAGACATTATTACCAGGAGAGCAAAGGCATATGCTACACTATTCTTTATCGTGGTTAGCGAGTAGTCCATGCCTTTGCTCTTCTATCTGACAAATTAAAATTAGAAGCTATTTGAAGATGACATTCGAGGTGCTTCATGCCCTGCCTGCTTTGCCGGAAGAAGTGTGGATGTGGGCAGGTGACTGAGGAGTGATCTTTTCCATTCTGGAAGGCAGGTCCGTGTGGTGCTCAGGGCCTGGGCACAGTGCTAGTAAGAAACCAGGTTTGACCTAATACCTTCGTTCACTTTTTTTACTCTAACATCTTTATTGAGATATAACTCACATACCATACAAATCACCCATTTAAAATGTATAATCCAGTGGTTCCCAGCATATTCAAAGTTGTATAACCATAATCATAATCAGTTTTAGTAAAAGGCGAAAGATTTATGTGGTCTGAAGAGAAACCAGAGCATCACAATCAGTTTTAGATCATTGTCATCAGCTCCGAAAGAAACTTTCTGCCCTTCAGCTGCTCCTCAATCTCCTCTCCCCCTTAAGCAAGAACCACCCCACTGTCTGTCTCTGTATGTTTGCCCCATTCTGGAGACTTATGTACATGGAATCATATAGTACATTGTCTGCTGTGATTGTGATTGGCTTCTTTCACTTATATAATTTTTTTTTTAATCCATGTTGTAGCATGTGTCCGTACTTCATTCCTTTCCTGGCCATATAATGTTCCACTGTGTGAGCATACCATATTTTGTTTAGTCATTCATCATTTGATGTTCCTTTGTTTTGTCTCAACCATTTGGTTATAAATAATTCTGCTGTGAACATTCATATACAAGTCTTTTGTGTGGACATATGTTTTCATTTTTCTTAGATCTATATCTAGGAGTGGAATTGCTGTGGTATCTCCATTTACCTTTTGCGGGGATTGCTAGACTGTTTTCCCAAGCGGCTGCACCACACTGATGATGAAATGGTATCTCCTGGTGGGTGTATAGGTTCCTGATGGCTCATGATGTTGGGCAGCTTTTCAGGTGCTTATTACCATTTGTGTATTTTCGTTAGGGGGGGAAAAAAAATGCCTCTTAGAGATCTTTTTATTATTGAATTCTAAGATTTCCTTATATTTTAGATACAAGTGCCTTATCAGATATATCATTTGAAAATATTTTCTCCTATTTTGTGTTTTTCACTTTCTTGATCCTGTGCTTTGAAGCATGGACATTTTTAATTCTGGTGAAGTCCAATTTATCCATTTCTTCCTTTGGTTGCTTTTGCTTTTGGCATCATATCTTAGAATCGATTGCTAAATCTGAGGTCATGAAGATTTATCCCTATGTTTTCTTCTAAGATTTTTGTACTTTTGGCTCTTACATTTAGGTTTTGAGCCATTAGAGTTGGTTTTTATGTATAGTGTGAGGTAGGGGTCCAAATTCATTTTCTTACATGTGGCTATCCCATTGGCCTCGGGTTCCTTATTGATAAAATGGCAATGGTAGCAAACCTACGTGAGATGCCATGAATGAGAGCGAGGGTAAGGTGATTCACAAAATGCCTACTATGTAAGCACTCAACATGAGTTGGATGCTGCTGTTGTTTTATAAATCATTCAGATTTTGAGCCTGATGGGTTGCCTGTGCGGAAGGAATATTGGAAGACCTTCTACCAGGGATTTGTGTTGGCCAGAACATGTTTGTTTTAAAGGTGTCTCTTGGATTTGTCATGGCCTTTAAGTAGGCACCTGCCCACTCCCTGTAAAGCAGAACTTACCAGGGTTTGAGACTCAGTCTTGGGCTTTCTGGGAAAGTAGGCCCCAGTTAGCTCACAAGGCAGAAGGCCCTCGTGGTAAGTTTCTCTCCAAAAGTCAGGCCTTTGGCATGGACACTTAGTCAGATACATTCTCCTCTGAGACCCCGAGTCTGGGATCCTTTCATTCTTCAAATAGGGAATGTTAAACGTCATCATCAAGGTCTCTGTGCTATAAATGGCCAGTTCTGTTGGTGTTTTTCAGTATATGAATCCACAGAATTTTAGACCTGGAAAACTAAAATCCTGTGAATTGGGGGAGGACTATCTTTGTCTCCAGACCCTGGTGGAGTCCAGAGACAGTGGGGAAATCATGAGGAAACCCAGAGGAAGGGGCGTCGGTTCCACTCCCAGACTTTGGGACAACAGCCTCCTGCTCCCCTCTCCTCTGGAGAGGCAGTGGAGGTGGCATCTTGTGACTTGCCACTTGATGACAGCCAGTTGGCTTGTGAGTGGCCTAACCTGCTTACAGTGCTTTTTTCAGAAATGGAAACCCAGACGGGGTCCGGGAGGTGCTCCTCAAGATGCACGGCTAAGGAGTTCTCAATCATTTATTTTAGTTGCATTTATTGAGCATCCTGAAAATAATGTAGAAATGCATGTTCAGAATAATGTGAAAGTATGAGGTCTTTGCAGCCCTGATAGTTAGCATTAGTGTAACGAACTGGATTAATCTAGCCAACAGGATGTTAGTGCTTCTGGGGGCCCTGATTTAAAGCCTTTTGTCAAATATGTGTTCACTGTCCATCGCTTATTTAAAATTAACATTTTTCTAGGTAAGAACATTTAGAACTTGGAGTATTCTGTGTGTCAACAAATCTTGATCCGAGTGATTTCTGCCAACTAGGAAGGATTTTGCTTCTCTGGAGAAGGATAACTCGCATTAAAAGGCATGCATTCATTTATTTTATCAAATGAAGTTCCGCTCAGCAGATGTGAGGGCCTTCTGTGCACTTGGCTCAG